AGCAAAGACCTGGAACCAACCCAAATGCCTATCAGTGATAGACTGGATAAAGAAACTGTGGCACATATACACCATGGAATACTATGCAGCCATAAAAAAGGATAAGTTCATGTCCTTTGCAGGGACATGGATAATGCTGGAAACTATCATTCTCAGCAAACTAACACAAGAACAGAAAACCAAACACTGCATGTTCTCACTCATAAGTGGGTGTTGAACAAAGAGAACACATGGACACAGGGAAGGGAACATCACACACTGGGGTCTGTGGAGGGGTGGGGGGCTATAGGAGGGATAGAAGGGGGTGAGGAGATTGGCGAGGGATAACATTAGAAGAAATGCCTAATGTAGGTGACGGGGGGATGGAGGCAGCAAACCACCATGGCAGGTGTATACCTATGTTAACAATCCTGCAAGATCTGCACATGTACCCCAAAACTTAAAGTATAATTTTTAAAAATTCAAAAAAAAAATCAAACCAATTGAACTCATGGAAATAAAGAAGAGAAGGATGGTTACCAGAAACTAGAAGGGTAGTGGTGGGATAGGGGAGAGACGGGGATGGTTAATGGGTATACAAAAAATATACAGGAAGAATGAGTAAGACCTACTATTCAGTAGCACAACAAGGGGATTATAGTCAACAATAATTGTACATTTTAAAATAACTAAAAGAATATAATTAGATTGTAACAAGAAGGATAAATACTTGAGGGGATAGATACCCAATTTTCCATGATGTGATTATTGTACAGTGCATGCCTGTACTAAAACGTCTCATGTACCCCATAAATATCTACACCTACTATATACCCACAAACATTAAAATTTTTTTAATGTTTTTGAAAACACAATTCCCCATTGCTCCCTGCCCCCAGATCTTGATAATCTCTAATCTACTTTCTGTCTCTGCATTTAACTATTCTTGATTTTTCATATAAACATCATACACATGCGTCACTTTGTTTCTGGCTGATTTCACTTAGCATAATGTTTCCAAGGTCCATCCATGCTGCAGCGTATGTCAGAGTTTCACTCCATTTTAAGGCTGATTAACATTCTAGTGTATGTATCGCCTATCGCCATATTTGTTTATCCATTCATGTGTTGATAGATACTTGGATTGTTTCTTTCTTTTCTTTTTTTCTTTTTTTTTTTTTTTGAGACTGAGTTTTGCTCTGTTGCCCAGGCTGGAGTGCAATGGTACAGTCTTGGTTCACTGCAACCTCCGCTTCCCGGGTTCAAGCAATTCTCCTGCCTCAGCCGCCTGGGCAGCTGGGATTACAGGCACCCACCACCACACCTGGCTAATTTTTGTATTTTTAGTAGAGATGAGGGTTTCACCATGTTGGCTGGTCTGGTCTTGAACTCCTGACCTCAAGTGATCTGCCTGCCTTGGCCTCCCAAAGCGCTGGGATTACAGGCGTGAGCCACCATTCCACCTGGGGGTTATAGGTTTTTGGGAGGAAGACTACGTATTCATCATATCACATCAAGGTACATACAGTCAACGAGTCATCACTGTTGATGTTGAGCTTGCTCAGCTGGCTCCATCAGGTTTCTCCACTGTAAATTTACTTTTTTTCTTTCGCCGTTTTCCACAGTGTCTTTTTGGAAGGAAGTCACTGTGTCCACTCCTGAAGTGTGGGAGTTATGTTCTATCTCCTTGAGGAGTATGTCAGCTTCCTAAGTCTGTGGTAACAAAGTACCACAAACTGGTGGCTTAAAAGAGCAGAAATGTGTTCTCTCATGGTTCTAAGCGGCAGTCCTCAACCTTTCTGGCAGGTTGCTGCTGGCAACCCTTGGCCTTATAGACACGTCACTCCATTGGCTGCCTCTGTCGGCACATGATGTTCTCCTTCTGTTGTCTTTGTCTGTGGCTCTCCTCTTCTTTTTATAAGGACATCAGTTGCACTGGATTAGGGCTCACACTAATGACCTCATTTTAACTTGATTCCACCTGCAAAGACCCTATTTCTGAATAAGGTCAGAGGTACCAGGGTTTGGGCTTTAACATATCTGTTTGTGGAACACAATTAAACTTAAAACAATGGGGGAGTATCTATATACATTAATTTTTAAATTATTATTATTTTTTGGAGATAGGGTGTTTCTCTGTCACCCAGGCTGG